CTGCGTAATATACTGTCATACTCCAAAAAGTACAGGTTACACATGAAGGAAGCAAAAAGCAAAAAAGAAAAGAAAAGAAAAAGATGATGATATCCAAGTCTCTACAACACGAGAAACAAGAAGAGAGTTCAAGAAATTTAAAAAAAGGGAAGAGAAAGCCCCTTCAAGCCTCCTCATGATGAATAAAGGTTGAAAACTGAGTCAAGGTATGATGAAGGCATATTCGTGTGAAAGCTAGACACATAAACGACCTGATGCCAGATGATGATCTATAAAGAGCAACGGTGCAGCTGCAGAAGAACCTATGTCAATTTCTGAACCACGAGACAAGCAGCCGAAAACAAAGAGGTATAATACTAATATTCAATTTTCAAGTACATGAATGAACAACAGAGTGACACGTGTTCTCTCACTGCATAAAAATTATAGACCACAAAAATTCTTATGTCTAAGTGGGTGTGCCAGCTTAAGTCATTGAGTGTTTTGTGCTAATTTATGCTATTGAGTGTTACAACTGCTTTCAAAAGATCCGGTCCAATTAAACCCAAGATTGACATGATGCGACAAGGCGAGAGAAAAAAGAAAACAGAGATCATGTGGAGATAAATGGAAGATTTCGAATTTTAAATTTGAATATTTCTCATTTATGAGAAAGTGGGAAAATGGATAGTTTCTAGAAAATCGTGGGGAGGGGGCATTGATAAAGGAGAGCATCACCCCTTGATAAACCCTAGAAACCTATGCATCCCTCTTCACATCTCATCGCTCTTCATCGTCAAAGAAAAAAAATATTTCCTAAGCTCTCTCTCTCTCCGGCACAAACAATGACCAAAATCGGTGAATCCTCAAGCTCTGTCAAGAAACAATCCACCGCAGCACCAGCACCAAGAATGTTGGGTCTGGTGGACTATTCAGATGATGAGGAGATGACCCCAGAAGGAAGCCCCATCTCTGAAACCTATTTGTCACATGCAGAAGATGATGCTGGGTCACAAACTGAGTCAGATCTGAGAGATGCTATAGAAGATGAAGTAATTGAAGCAGAGGAGAAACTGTCTCGGAGGGATCGATCACCAGAAGCTATCCCAGAAGAAGCTCAGATCCAAGAACCAGATGAATAGCTCAGCAAAGCTCAAGGGAAGAACAAGGCTGAAGCATCTGATGATAAATCTAATGAAGGAGGTGACTCGGAAAAGACAGAGCCAGGAGAAGTTCAAGAGGTCGATATTGGCGACGTGGAACTGTTGCTGAACATTAAGAGGAAGACCAAAGGCAAGAAGAGGAAGACTCTGCCATCGTCTCAGCGAAGCAACCCTAAGAGGAAAGTAGCAAAAATCTTGACTACAGCAGAAGGAGTTATACCTACACGCGTCATCTCATCCACCAAAGGAGGATAATCTGCAAAGACCACTCGAAAATATACGAACACTGAGCTTCTGGCTGCACAAAGGTATGTACAAAAGCTTCCCAATTCGGGAAATCATACCAGAGCGCTCTGTAGATTTGGAAGGAGTTGACACATGTGGATATGTGGAGATGGTCAAAAATGGTAATCTTGAGAGGACGGTTACTAACTTGGTGGGGTATATTCCTGAGATCGTCAAGGAGTTCTATGCAGCACTTCCAAGTGAGATCACACAAGTTTCCAAAGAGAGGTGGAAATTGTCTTGAGGGGTCAAAAGTTCGAGTTCTCACCCACTGTGATCAATGACTACTTCAATCTCGAACCTCTCACAAGAGATGAGATAGAGATTGATTAAACCATTGATGCACTCTCGAGTGACGAGTGTGCAGACTTTCTAACAGAGGGGGCACTATGGCTCACAATTCGGCCACTGTCTCCGTGCAAATCTGCCTTGGTGATTCTCTCAGCTATAATTGGGTCCCTTCGTCTCACAAGAATCCGCTTTCAGCTGATCGAGCATGGCTCATCTACAAGATGTTTCACGGGATTCGGTGTGATGTGGGGGAAATGATCTACTCTCAAATTCTTGATTTGGGAGTTCTGCAGAAGGAAGGATCGGAGGGAAGAAGCATACTCGATGGTTGATCTTTCCGCGAACCATCTATAGTGTACTCCAGAGTCAGCATGAGTTGCAGAGAAAGCCAAGAGAAAAGGTCATCCCAGTGATCCAGTACAAAAAGGATCCGCATCTTGGTGAGGAGTATATCAAGAATAGAGAGGACGAACAAGAGGCAGTAGCACAAACCCATAGGAAAGCTAAGAAGAAGGACAAATCAGCCTCTGCCTCAAAGACTGCTACCAAGTCCACACCTCCATCCAGCTCAAAACCACCAAAAGGATCCGCATCAAGACACTATTTTCCACCCCATGATCTTCCTACTACAGCTGGGAAGTTCCAACTCATTCAACTAGGCACCATTGGCTGCCCAGGAGTGCCAAATGATGTGGGAAGCTCAGGTTGCTGTGGTAGAGGTAACAACTGACATCAGTTACCTAGGAGATGCGATGCAGACACTGGCAACTGTTGTGAAACCAATAGTTCAGATGATGCAACCGAGTAAGTTTTTCATCTAATTTATCTTGTTCCTGATCTTTCATTTGTTTTTAACATTGAATGCTCTCAAGCAGGAGGAGATGAGCCAGAAAATACATAGGAAACAACTGATGAAACCAAGCCTTAGGCTCTGGGGGAATATTTTTTTAGGATCTTTTATTTTTGGGGGGGGGGGGTAAGAGAGGGAAAAACGTTGGTGTTTTTTTTGTCGGTGTTGTATTTCTCTTAACTCTTATGGCTGTTTGGATTGAACCTTTTAAGTTTTTAATGCACGTACTATCAGGAATTTATGTCCAGATATGCTTGGTTGTTGTGAATATATTCTTTGACAGGTACTTGATGACCATCCAAGGCTAAAAAGGGGGAGACTGAAGATGCAAAGATCAGGTGAACATTCTGATACAGATGTAAGTGCAACAACGAATGGAGCAGATTCTACGACAGAGTATGTGCATGCGGATGAACAAGATAAAAATTTGAAGAATGGCTTGGTGATCAAGTTGGAGTTAGCATAAACGAAGACTTGAAGAATAAGCACAAAGAGATTCACATTGGAGGGAGATCTCGTAAATGGGAAGTTTGCAAAAGACTTACTATGAGTTTTGGGAACTTACCATATTTGGATATTAAGTAAATATTGGGTAGATAGACTAGGGTAGCCGACTTGAGTATAATGTATATATAGTACTGTACGACCTAGGTATTAGGGTTGTCACCAGAGTTGTATTCTTAGCATAAGAGTGGGTTTCATAAGCTTGTAAGCGAGTGAAAGCACTAAGGGCTAAGAGGAAATGTTTTAAGATCTAGTATTCGATCTTACCAGGTGTGAGGCTTGAGATTCTGTTTAAAGACACACTTGTAAGTTCGATTTAAAAAAATACTAGCAAATACATATATCTTTGTAGAGATATTATCTGGTGTACTTTTCACTTTACATTTGTGCAATTGTTCTTGCATTTACACAGTTTGCTACTCTTTTTATGAAGTTGATGGTTTCTATGTCTCTATAGCTGAACCACTTCAAACTGATGCAGTCTAATAAAATAAAAGGGCCAATAGTTTGTTTGTTCATTTCACCTATGCGCCAGTTGTAAAGAATTGCATTAACCACGACAAGCACATAATATGCTTCGGGCAGAGACAGATGTATTTCACTGTGACCCTAAAATATCAATGCAGATTGTGTCAATATTATTCTCTTAAAAAATATTGTTCTCTAGTGATACGTGGTATAACATATGCTAAACAGAACGTCTAACCACTGTTATGTTTCCTCTTTTGCTTTCTTTTGCTTAATGCTTTTACGTATTTTTCAGTAACCTGAAATCAAATAACAACCTTAACATGTTTTAGTTCTTTGTGTGTCTTCTTTATATCTTGAAATTTCCAACAATAAATACAAGTTTAGCCATAAACATTAATCATTCCATCCGAGTTATCATTCTTGACGATACTATTGATTAGTCAACTAGTGAATGTAATTCATTTTTCATGATGAATGTAGACCACCATGTTTTCCAACAAGAATCCAACTTCGCTACTCCGTAGAAAATTCGATCGCAGATCTAGCCGTCTCCTCCATTAAATGCCTTTAAGCTTAAGCTTTCCTCGCCACCAGCTGGATTTCACGATTGGGGACAACAGCAACATAACTGCTTCTTGGTGACCTTCTCGTGGGTTAACCACAACGACGCATTTGCTTGTCGTGGTTAATGCAATGAGATACACTCGTGTTTGCACTTGCCATATAATTCAGATTTTCACAGTGAAAATAAAAACGTGATTACAGTCAAACAAAATGAGATACACTCGTGTTTGCACTTGCCATAAAATTCAGATTATGTGCTGCTGATTTTTGGGTTAGGAGAGGAGGCGAATCAATCGAAACGAAGAAGAAGATTTATGCCAATAAGAAAGCGAACAAATAGATATATACTTTTTTGTCCAAATTGAGTTTTTTTTTTTTTGGAAACCCTAACATTTGATTTTGCTAAGATCCCAATATTTTTCATTCTATGGTTTGGTTCTTGATTCCAGTCACTGGACTTCTTCTTGCGTATTGGGTTTGTTTCATACTTTTTCCGATTCTGTTTCAATTACTCTGTTTTATTCTCTGTGACACGCAACAAATATCAACCAAATATTTTCTTTCAATTACCATTGTAAGGGTGCTCTTTTTTAGGGTTCAAGTATTTAAACAACTACAGATGTCCACTGATATGGGCAATTTTTGCACAGTGGAGTTGAGGGCTTTAAAGGTCATGATAATGAAGAAGGTCGCTACATCATCGTAACCCCAAAGAGCTTCTCACTATGGATTTGATTGTTCGCGTTGTTATTCCTTAATTTGATTTTGGGAAGAACAGAGACTTTTGATGACTTTTATCGGTTGAATTGTATAATCTGAGGTTTCCCGCAAAAAAAAAATGTTTTGTTTCTTAGATTTTTGAGGCTATCTGAGTGTTGATGCAGGCATGGTTTATGGATGATAGCAATGAAGACCAGAGACTTCCTCATCACCGTAACCCCAAAGAGCTTCTCACTATGGATTACTTGGCAGGTCTCTCTCTACTTCAACTTACTCTTACTTTTTTTTTTTTGCAAAACGATTGCTTCCATATTATAACTCAATCGCTAACTGGAATGTTTCCATGAGAAAAAAGACTCTTCATATGCTTTTTTTTTGGTCTTATGCTCTTCATATGCTTATTAACATATTTATATATAGTATTTATGTGTATTTATGTCTGGTTTGGAAAATTTCTGTGTGTGTTGTCTTTCATGCTTTTTATTATATTGAGTTGTTACTACAAGATAAAAGAATATGAGCTCACACGAAAGAAACCTAACTAAGGAAATGATTAGATATATACAAGAGCAGAGCATGCAACTTTAAAAAAAATGTCTCTAGCAATAGTTGTGATGTGTTTTGCAGATCTGGGAGTGTTGTACTGGAACTTGAACCCTGATAACTATGAGCATGATTCTGAGCTAGGCAAAATTAGAGATGAAAGGGGTTATGATTACATGGTATGTGTGGTGGTTACCCTTTTCTGATTACTTTAGGGTCATTCTCACTCATGCTCACCATCTATAGCCATTGATGTTGTTTGTTTGTTGCATATTAATCTTTATTTTAGGATTTGCTGGATCTGTGTCCTGAGAAAGTCAGCAACTACGAGGAGAAGCTGAAGAACTTTTTCACAGAACACATTCACAAGGACGAAGAGATTCGTTACTGTTTTACAAGAAGTTGCTATTTCGATGTTATGGACGAGGATGACCGTTGGATCCGAATCTAGATGAAACTGGGAGATCTCATTGTTCTTCCTGCTGGGATCTACCACCGCTTCACTATTGGAACTCTGTTTTTTTAAAGCTGATCGTTTCTGATTTTCCGGCGACTTTTCCGGCCAAACTAGTTGTCGTTCCGGTCAGATCATCAGCTCTTTGTAAAGCTTGTAACGAGTACTACAACGTGGTATATTCACACTTTAAAAACAGATCAAAATTGAATAAGAAATGAAGCTTCGAAGTTGGTACGTTGGTGTGGACACAAAACTGAAAAACCCAGTTTTTCCGTTTTGTCCCACATCGGCCAACAAAAGCATCAGAGAGCAGTTTATATATGCCTTTGTGTTATCATGGTTTAAACAGCTCGGAGAGAGAGATGGCTCCCCATGCGCGCCGCCATCCGGCAGGCTCGGCTCGTCTCGGCTTGGGCTTGGGTGGAGGGCCTTTGGCCCGATAAGAAGTTATAACTTTGGACAAAATTAAGTTCAACGCTTTGCCATTTAAACTTCAAAAAACAGCATGCAATTTTATTTAAAATGAAAAGTAGTTTGTCTAACAAATACCAAAACGTCACGCTGTTTATTCCTCACCAGATTTTTTAATAAAAGCGAGAGAGCGAGTCTTGGGGGATAAGTTTTCGTAACTTAAAATTTCCGGGATCTTTGCCAAATCCCCAGTAACGAGCACGCGTTACGGGAAGTTGCTTCTCGTCTTCTCTTTAAATATCGTCTCTCCTCATTCTTCATTTTTAACTTTTTCACGCAAGAAAAAACCAGCAAATCTCCCAGAGTAAGTTTAGAGAGTGTTCGTAGAATTTTAGTTCGTTAGGTCGTTTCACGAGTGAAGCGTGATTCGTCTTCCATGGTTGTATCTTGGGACTCGATATTCGTACAGTTTCGGCTCACTAGGGAGCGAATATTAAGAGTTAAGGAAAGAGATTTATCTCACCTCCATGTCTTATTTAATCGTCTATTTCCTTAACTCCGTCTTTCTTATATCGTTTATGTCGATCCGGTTTTCCAGCTTCTACAATCTTAACTCTTAATCGCTTTCTGTCTAAAGCTTTAATCGGTTGAAAAAAGCGATGTATAGAAACGGGTTCTGGAACCGTGTTTGCGATTTGCTCTATAGCACTTCCGCGAAACTTTGTACGTTTAATATTTGTCTACTATATGTGTTTGCGATTTGCTCTATAGCACTTCTGCGAAACGGTCTTTGAAACGCTGTTTGCGATTTGGTTTTATAATTTCCGCGAAACGTTTCTTACTTATCTCAAAACGATTTGCGGTTTGCTTATAGCATCATCCGTGAAACATTTTAGATACTTCTTTCTTTCAAAACATTTATATATGAATCCTTTTCACAGATGCTTTATTAAGTGAATTTGTGAAACAATCTAAGTCTACACTAAACAGTTTCTGCGAACGCTTATAAGCGAGTTTGCAAAACGTTTTTCCAGACTTGTATCGATATGATTTGGTTCAGATTACCAAAAATGGAAATCGATTTCACACTATTATTTTTGCTTAAAAATAATATGTTGTTATTTGAATGGTTGTATGGAGTACTGATCCGTTTTCATATTTTCTTTACAGAAAAATGACGAACGATGATAACACCCCCATTGACCTCGCCAGTCAGACTCCACTCAACGCGACAGCACCTGTTGCAACCGACGTGACGAACGTTGTATCAACCGATGCAACCCTTCCAGTGGGTGCTGTTCCTGATGAGACCACACGCCGTAGCCTGTTCGGTGCTGGTCTTTATCAAACAGGTCCAATTCAAGGATCCACAAGTCTTCCGGTTGCATGTGCAACTCCTCTGGTTATTCCTAGTGTCATCTCTCAGAATATGATGCCAGACAAATTTGATGGCAAAGGCTTCAAAACGTGGCAGAAGAAGATGATGTTCTTCCTCAGTTTGTGCAAGTTGGACAAATTCATCGAGGAAGATAAACCCATTATCCCTCACGGGACTGACGTTATGCACGTCTTCTCAAGTGTTGAAAGTTGGGTGCATTCGGATTTCATCTGCAAAGGCTACATTTTGGGTCGTCCCATTGACCCATTGTACCAAGTCTACTGTGAGATTCCAACGGCTAAAGAGCTCTGGAAATCGCTGGACAAGAAGTATAGAGGTGAAGACGCTGGCTGCCAGAAGTATGTAGTTGCAAAATTCCATGACTTCAAAATGGTGGATTCAAAATCCATCATGGATCAGGTGGAAGCGTATCAGCTCATTTGCTATGAAATTTCTGCTGAGGGAATATCCATAGATGAGACATTCATAACCCTCAGTCTCATCCAATAGCTTCCTCCAAGCTATGATGAATTCAAGAACTACCTGAAGCACAAAAAGAAAAAGATGAGACTTGAGGATCTCATTCAGAGGCTTCAGATGGAAGCCAGAACCCGAAAGAATGACAAGCTCGAAGCTAGAGAGCACAATATTAATGTGGCTGAAACGAAAGGTAAAGGAAAGGCAATTGCTAACTCCCCTGCCAAGCCTTCCAAGACAGCTGCAAACTTGAAGGTTTTTGGACCAAACTTCAAAAAGAAAGGCAAAGGCAATCAAAACAATGAGAATGTGGAGAAATTCAAGGGAAAGTGCCACTACTGTCACAAAAATGGTCACAAGACTGTTGAGTGTCGCAGCAAGATCAGAGATGAGAAGGCCCAGATGAATCTCACGGAAGAAGATCTCGTTGCAGTGGTGACTGAAGTCAACATGGTTGAAAACAACAACCCCAAAGAATGGTGGTATGATAGTGGTGCCACCACCCACATTTGCACTGATAGGGCGATGTTCAGCACTTATCAGAAAAGCGAGACTCAGGAGAAGCTGTTCATGGGGAACAAATCAGTCTCCAAGATTGAAGGCCACGGCAAGGTGGTTCTGAAGATGACATCTGGACATGAAGTCACTCTGTAGAATGTGAAGCATGTGCTTGACATGAGGAAAAACTTGGTTTCGGGAACCTTGCTCAGCAAGAATGGATTCGCCACATCTCTTGAGGCGGACAAGCTCGTGATTAGGAAGAATGGGGTGTATTTTAAGTATGCGTACAGGCTAAGCTCACAAAAACACCCTCACCTCATGTTGAAAGAACTAACAAACCTCTACATTTAATTCACCCCGATTTATGTGATTTAAAATATATACAAACTAGAGGTGGGAAAAAGTACTTTGTGACCTTCATAGATGACTGCACAAAATATTGTTATGTATACTTATTACGTAGCAAAGGTGAAACCTTAGAAAAATTCAAAGAATTTAAACTCGAGGTATAAAATCAACTTAAAACAACTATTAGAATAGTTAGGAGCGATAGAGGAGGCGAATATGATGGGCCATTCAATGAATTCTGTAAAGAACATGGAATAATTCATCAAACTACAGCCCCTTACTCACCAGAATCTAATGGAGTTGCTGAACGCAAAAATCGAACTCTAAAAGAGATGATGAATGCAATGTTGCGGGAATCAGGGTTGCCCCAGAACCTGTGGGGGGGGGGGAAGCACTGCTTACCACTAATTATATCCTCAACAAAATTCCACAAAGAGTAACTGGGAAAACTCCATATAAATTATGGAAAGGTAATTTACCATCGTATAAATACCTCAAAGTGTGGGGGTGCTTAGCAAAAGTTGCGGTACCACCACCAAAAAGGTCACTATTGGACGTAAAGCAGTGGATTGCATCTTCATCTGATATGCACATAATAGTAGTGCTTATCGATTTCTGGTACATAAATCTGAAATATCAGATATCCATGAAAATACAGTAATGGAATCAAGAAATGTATCTTTCTTTGAAAATTTTTTTCCATGCAAGGAAAAACAAGGTTCAAAACGAATTCGAGAAGAAAGAGACAACGACAATGTTTCAGAAACTGAGACAAACGTCGAGATTTCTACAAATGATATTTCAGAAAGTGAAAAAGATGAACCTAGAAGGAGCAAAAGAGCTCAAAAGGAAAAATCCTTTGGAGAAGATTTCTTAATGGCATTTCTAATAGAAAATGTTCCAAAAACTTTGGCAGAGACCATGGCTTCGCCAGAAGCTCCGTTTTGGAACGAAGCTGTCAGAAGTGAATTTGATTGAATTATGCAAAATTATACATGGTACATAACAGATTTACCACCTGGCTGTAAAGCATTAGGAAATAAATGGATAATGACGCGAAAACCTGGTGGAAAATACAAAGCTAGGCTTGTAGGTCAAGCATTCCGACAGAAGGAATGCCATGACTATTTTGATACATATTCTCCAGTAACGAGAATAACATCAATAAGACTGATGATAGCAATCGCAGCCTTAAGAGACCTAGAAATCCATCAAATGGATGTAAAAACCGTTTTTCTAAATGGTGATTTAGAAGAGGAAATTTACATGAAACAACCTGAGGGGTTTGTCATTCCTGGACAGGAAGGCAAAGTATGCCGACTAGTAAAGTTACTTTATGGGCTTAAACAAGCTCCTAAACATGGCACGAAAAATTTGACAGTACAATGATGTCAAATGGTTTCAAAATTAATGAATGTGACAAATGCATATACGACAAAACTACCAAAAATGGGTATGTTTTGCTATGTCTATATGTAGATGATATGCTCATTATTGGAAGCAATAAAGACATTATCAATCAAACAAAGAACATGCTCAAAGGGAAATTTGAGATGAAAGACTTGGGAGTAGCAGATGTAATTCTCAGAGTTAAAGTCACAAGAAATTCAAAAGGAATTACATTAACCAAAGCTCATTATGCTGAAACAATATTGGAGAGATTTAAAAAATACTCTAATAGCACGGCAAAAACTCCGTTAGATCCCCAAATGCACTTGACAAAGAACTCAGGGGAAGCGGTTTTACAAAATGAGTATGCACGTGTGATTGGAAGTCTCATGTACTTGACAAATTGCACAAGACCAGATCTAGCGCATGCAGTAAACGTACTGAGTCGATATACAAGTAATCCATGTCATACACATTGGAAAGCTATATG